CCTAAAAATCTCATCATTTCTTTCTTATTATTCGGCTGAGTAAAATTTACAATAGCTTCAACTTTTGCTTTAATAGGTTTTACTTGTCCTTGACCTACAATATGGCCTAAATATTCTACAGTAGCATGACAAAATTCACTTTTCATGAGATTTACAGTTAATTTAGCATCAGATAATTTCTTAAATAAAGCATCTAACTGATACTTGTGCTGTTCCCATGTATCACTATAAGTAATAATGTCGTCAATATACCTCTCACAATTTTGTAAATCGGCAATAATTCCGTTAACTAATCTTTGAAAGGTAGATGGTGCGTTTTTCATACCAAACGGCATTACTTTATACTGAAAAAGACCATCTGGTGTTACAAAAGCTGATACCCTTTTAGCCCTTTCCGTTAATGGAACCTGCCAATATCCCTTTAAAAGATCGAATTTACTAACAAATTGTGCATCACCAATTTTATCAATACAATCATCTATTCTAGGGATAGGAAATGAATCAGTTATTGAAACAGAATTAAGTTTTCTAAAGTCTGTACAAAAACGATATGACTTATCAGGCTTTGGAACTAATATGCATGGTGAACTCCAGTCACTGTAACTGGGTTCAATAATGTCATTTTCCAACATATACTTAACTTCATTTCTCAAATGTTCCAATTTAAGAGGATTTAAACGGTATGGGTGTTGTTTAACAGGTACAGCCCCATCCACGTCAACATCATGATATATAGCCTCCGTTTTACTTGGAACATCAGGAAATAAATGTATGTATTTATGTATTAAAGATTTTAACTCATCTTTTTTAACATCACTTAAATGATTAAGTTTAGTATCTAAATTTGAAAGTATAACAGAATTCTTTAATTTAATATCACATTGTATAGGTTCTATAACTTCTTGTTCATCATTCGACTGAACAGCAGATAAATTAGCAACAGGTCTACTAATGTTTGAAGTTTCTCTCTCAATATATGGCTTTAACATGTTAATATGACATTCAACTTCATAAGGACCGTGATATCGGGCCTGTAGCGGACTACCAGGAATAGGTAAAAAGGCAAGCACCTTGTCACCAGATTTAAAAGTACGATTCTTGGCTTTCTTGTCATACCAGTATTTCATTTTGACCTGGCTATTTTTAAGATTTTCTTTGGCAATTTCACATGCTCTTTTAAGTCTTTCTTTAAAACTAACAACATAATCTAACATATTGATATTAGTATCATCACCTAACCATTTCTCTTTAAGAAATGTAAGCGGTCCCCGCTCTGAGTGGCCAAATACTAATTCGAATGGGCTGAATCCAAGGGACTCCTGAACGGCTTCTCGAGCGGCAAATAAAAGAAGATGGACGCCTTCGTCCCAATCTCTTTTGTGCTCTAAACAATATGACCGAATCATATTTTTTTTAAAGTTTGGTGGAAACGTTCAAGCGCCTCCTGCGATTGAGGGTGATATGCACTAGATTTAAATTGATTAATATCTAACTGATGCATGACTTGCTGAAACAAATTAGACATAAAATTAGATCCTTGATCTGACTGTATAGATTTAGGTAAACCAACTAATGTGAAAAATTTAATTAAAGCTTTCACTATATTTGGCGTTTTAATATTTCTAAGAGGAATCGCCTCTGGAAAACGAGTGGAGGCACACATAATTGTTAAAAGGTATTCATTGCCTGTTTTTGTTTTAGGAAGTGGTCCCACACAATCGATAAGTACTCTACTAAAAGGTTCTTCAAATGCTGGGTTGGATACAGAGGCGCGATAGGAATTTTCTGATTAGGCTTTCCAACAACCTGACAGTTGTGACATGACTTGCAAAATTCAACAACATCCTTTTTCAGATTCGGCCAATAAAAATGGTTTAAGATCCTTTGGTAGGTCTTGTTAACTCCCAAATGACCAGCCATGGGCAAATCATGGGCTAAACTTATAACCTCTTGACTATATAATTTTGGCACAACAATCTGATGAACAACCTTCCACTCCATACTAACATTCGCATCTGGCGGTCTCCATTTCCTCATCAAAACATTATCATTTTTATAAAAACAAATAGGGACATTCTCCACCTCGTCTAAAGATAAACACTGACCATAACAATTGACAAGATCGGGGTCATTTCCTTGTTCAATAATTAATTTAGAACGACTTAAAGGGTCTGGACCTAAACCTTCAAGATTATTAGGGTGAAAAGAGGTACTGTCGTGTAAAATAGGAACTTGGTCCTTATCAAATGAAGCATCAAACTGAATATCAGGAATATTCGCCATAAAAGTGTCCTCTAACACATAAGAATCTTCATTAATAGACATATCCTCATTAAGAGATTTCTTTTCAGACATCTTACTCATAGCCCTAGTAACTGCACAAGCCGGGTAAGTAAATAAATCAGAATCCTGATTATCGTGAACAGGCTTTTCAAAAGAAGGATTATTTGATAGAATCGGGTTAACAATAACTTTATCACCCGCTAAGTCATTCCCTAGTAATAAATCTATACCTTCTACAGGAAGAGTAGGTCTAATACCCACAGTAACACGCCCAGAAACTAAATCTGACTTTAAGTTAATATCATGAAGAGGTACACTAACAAAGCCTAAATCAACACCCTGAATAAGAACATTAGCATCTACAGAAGACTTTGATGAAAAGGGTAAAACTTTTTCTAACATCAAACTTTGTGAAGCTCCTGTATCACGTAATATCCTAAGGGTTTTTAAATTGGCATCGTCACCTACAAGTGACACTAATCCTTCAGACACAAAAGGCTTAAACTCCTCAATAATAAATTCAGACGCAGCATTATCAACAACCTTTTCAGGGAAGTTTAATTTAATTGGCGCTTCAGGGCTTTTTAATGAAACACAAGCACTGGATTTTAAACTAGTATTTTTATTTTCTTTTCTTTGAAGAATCCAGCACTCTGAAATAATATGCCCTTTTTTATGACAATAAGAACATACAGGTATTTTATGATGATCCACCCCTTTATATGCTTCTGGCTTAGGCCTAACAGTGCTATCACTATTTGACTTGACCTTATCATAAGTTTGAGGGTTAAAGGGTGATCTACTCTGTATTACTTTATTTGGGGTATAATGAGAGGTAGCGGCATGGGGAGATTTGTCTAGCCTTTGGCTACTTTTAGTAGAAATTAAATCATGAGTGAATAGTCATCAGCCATTGTAGCTGCTTCACTTAGTGTGCTTACTTTATGTTCGTCTAGAAATGTTCTAATATCAACATGTATACAATGTTTAAATTCTTCTAGTAACATAAGTTGTCTAAGTTTACTAAAGTTTCTATTAATTTCTTTAGAATCAAGCCACCTATCAAATAAGTGTTCTTTTACTCTGGAAAATTCTACATGTGTTTGTTCATTACCTTTGATTGAATTTCTAAATTTGTGTCTATATGCCTCTGGGACTAAAGCATAGGCATTAAGAATTGTATGTTTGACTGTATCATAATTAGAACTTTGTTCAAGGGACATAGCTGAAAATATTTCTCTAGCTTTACCTAATAATACACTTTGTAATAATAGTGTCCAATTTTCTTTTGGCCATTTTAAACTAGCAGCTATCTTTTCAAAATGTAAAAAATACTGATCTATTTCCTTTTCTTGAAATTTAGGAACTAATCTGATATGCTTTGCTGCATCAAAATGATTTAATAATGACTGCTGTGCGGAGTGTGACTGATTTGCCAATTCAATTTCTTTTATCTTAATTTCCTTTTGAATTTCTAATTCTTTAATATGTACTTCTTGCCTTTGTTGTAATTCTAGTCGTTTTAACTGATGTTGAAATTCTAACTCTTTTAATTTTAAAACATCTACATCACCTGGTATCTCACTAATTAAATCTAAGGCATCTTCATCAAAAATATTATTATCAACCAAGGTTTTAAGTACTGCATTTTTAATTATGTTCTTTCTCATAGATTGATTTACTTTAACTTTGAAATGAATGGCAAGTTCTAACAATTCAACCTTCTTTAATCCGTCAAACTCCACCAGAGTTGGTTTTGACAAAAATGTTTGGACAGTAAACACCATATTGACTTTCTACTTTCTGCTGATTTATAAATATACCAAAACACAAATCTGTGTATTATAAATTTCGTTTACATAAGAAATTTAACTAATATCATAAATATATACGGATTATCCCGGACAAGCCCCCAATTTCTGGCCTTGTTTTAAGTGACGTAACAATTGTTAATCAGGATTCTGGCGTTCTATTCATCGCACCACTATAACATGTTTACTATGTATGGCTTTCACATCGGCCGTATATGCCGGTCAAGACCGAGGGCTATGGAAAATGACTGAAACTAGATCTGAACCATTGGTCATTTTGCACCCCGGAAATATAGTCTATTTTTTAAAACCCAATTTTCAAACATGGGTCTGATCGACCCCCACTATGTATGTATAAAATTGTAAAGCCAGTACTGAAATCCACACGTATATAAGCCATGATCAATACCCATTATGTAGGTATAAAATTGTAAAGACTATACTGAAATACACATGTATAGAAGCCATGGTTTATTTCACTGCAGCGTTTCAACAAGATTTCACAAGTCATTTAGTCCATGTCTATTGAGTAAATGTGATCACCTGATCAGATTTACTTTATAATGAGTGCAGTGGCCAGAGGCAATAGAAGAAAAGAAACTGTAAATGGTTGATCACTGTCGAATCCGATAAGATTTTCAACCAGGGTAGAGGGGACGCATGTTTCGTCCTTTCTGAAAAAGTGCCCTGGAAAGTGTTCAAGGTAATGCCTGTGTCAATATCACAGAATCATTAGTTCAATCTCCTATTACAATTTGACTATTGTAACAGTTAACCAGCAGGTGTTACAAAAGCCATATTGTATAAGCTCTAAAAACAACAGAATATTATTATTATTATTATTATCCTGCTGATCTTCCCTTGTTCCAACCAGATGTAGCAATAAAAAAAACAATCACAATCAATTTATCTATTTAATGACTACAACATACATACAATCATACAAAATGAAATGAAATGGGGTTTAACGTCCTACTGTTCTGCTCCTATGCTGGGCTAATGAAGACGGGCATACGCCATGCAGTGTGCTATGAGGGAAATTTTGCTCGGGCAGCGGCACTATCGCCTACTCTTATATCGAATTCCAACTGCCAAGGGATCTTTTACGTGCATTCCAATGTATACATGTGACCTCGGTTTTTCGTCTCATCCGAAGGACTAGACAGCTGTCCTTGTCAGGCCCTCCGTCCTACATCACTGACAAGGGGGAACCACGCCGGAAAATCTGGATGAACTTTCTCGGCCAATGCAGGGATCGAACACCCGACCTCCAGGCTAGCGAGCCAGCGTCTTACTCATTAGCCACCGTGATCCCCTTACAAGCATACAACTTGAGATTTTGTAAAAGTTTTATTTTACTATTTACAGGGGTGGGGGGGGGGTGGATAGCCCTGTCATTGAGTCAGCTGGCGTGGTTTCGATTCCCCGGTTGTACGTGACAAGGAGTAGGGTCTCCTGTCCAACCTCGTGGGTTTTCTCCGGGTCCTCCGGTTTCCTCAAACTGCTAAAAGAGCCCTACGCGCAAGCGAATTATTGAAATAAAATTGAACCATGTGTTAGTCCCGAAATCACCTAGTTTGTGTCGAGTTGACGTTAAACCCCACTTCTCTCTCTCTGTCTCACTATTTACAGTGTGATTACTGGTGTGACTGAAGACAACAGTTCTTACTACACCGTAAATTTATTATGGTTTTTCGATTGGATGAATTCTCGCGTGTCTTTTCAACAAACTACTCCTGGTGAATGATTTACTACAAACATCACATTTATACGGTCGTTCACCAGTATGGTTCCTCATGTGTTGCTGGAGACCAGTACAATTAGTGAAAGATTTACGACAAACATCACATTTAAATGGCTTTTCACCTGTATGACTTCTCATGTGTACACGTAGATTGCTAATCGTAGAAAATGATTTACTACAAACATCACACTTATAAGGTTTTTCACCTGTATGAATTCTCATGTGAACCTGTAGACTCCAACTAGTGATAAATGATTTACTACAAACATCACATGTATATGGTTTTTGACCAGTATGAATTCTCATGTGCTGCTGGAGACTACCACTTTCAGTGAAAGATTTACGACAAACATCACACGTAAAGGGTTTTTCACCAGTATGACTTCTGATGTGTGTCTGAAGATGACTACTGTAGGTGAATGATTTACTACAAACATCGCATTTATAAGGTTTTTCACCAGTATGAATTCTTATATGTCTCCGCAAACTACTACTGTCAGTGAATGATCTACTACAAACATCACACGTAAAGGGTTTTTCACCAGTATGAATTCTCATATGTCTCTGTACATCGCAACTGTTAGTAAATGATTTACTACAAACATCACATGTAAAGCGTTTTTCACCTGTATGAATTCTGATATGTCTTTGTAGATCGCAATTGACAGCAAATGATTTACTACAAACATCACATTTATAAAGTTTTTCACCAGAATGATTTCTTTTATGTCTCTGTAGTGTACTATTGCATGTGAATGATTTACTACAAACATCACATTTATACATTTTTTTTTCACTATGAGTTCTCCTGTGTTCCTGCAGACCAGTACTATTAGTAAATGATTTACTACAAACATCGCACGTAAAGGGTTTTTCACCAGTATGAATTCTGATATGTCTCTGTAGTTTACAAATGTATGTGAATGATTTACTACAAACATCACATTTATAATGTTTTTCTCTTACATGACTTTTCATATGTTCCTGTAGATATCTACTATTAGTAAATGATTTACTACAAACATCACATTTAAAACAGTTTTCACCAGTATGAATTCTCCTATGTTTCTGTAGATCGCTACTGTTACTAAATGATTTACTACAAACATCACACTTCTTAAACTCTTGTGAATTGTGTATTTCTTTTTCATTATTCTGGTTAAAACTCCCCTCCCAATGTTCACCATGTTGTAAAACAGATTCCTCTTCTTTAACATGTTTTTCACAGTGTTTTTCTAAATCAGTTTCAGATTTAAATTCCTCATCACACAAATTACACTGATAAACAGTTTCAATATCATCAGTTTTCTCCACTTTAACATGACAATATTCATCTACATCATCAGTTATCTCTTCTTTAACATGACAATATTCATCTACAACATGTACATCATCTTCAGTTTTCTCCACTTTAACATGACAATATTCATCTACATCATCAGTTATAACATCATTAGTATCCTGTAATATATAAAAGTTATAACATCATTAGTTGCCTGTAATATATAAAAGTTATAAAATCATTAGTTTCTTGTAATATATAAAAGTTATAACATCATTAGTTGCCTGTAATATATAAAAGTTATAACATCATTAGTATCCTGTAATATATAAAAGTTATAACATCATTAGTTGCCTGTAATATATAAAAGTTATAACATCATTATTTTCCTGTAATATATTAAAGTTATAACATCATTAGTTGCCTGTAATATATAAAAGTTATAACATCATTAGTTTCTTGTAATATATACTATTCAAAAAAAGTAGGGGATATTTGATTTTTAAGTGTTATTAAAGTCACCTAATGAAACTGACAAAGAAACAAATGACAAAATGAAATGAAGTTCACATTCATCGATTTATTCCAAATGATCGTTAGACTAAGTAAGGCACAGACTGACCATTATAAGGGTAAAATGATACCCGGGTCAAACAGCAAAGTTACCACAGCATCACAACCAAGTCAGTAACGGGTAAATCCTCCTCTGTTTGCCAAACAAGCATTGATCCGACGTGGCATACTCCTAATGAGACGTCTAAGGTCATTTTGGTCCAGATTGTCCCATTCCTGTTGCAACGCAGCAGCAAGTTCTTGGACATTGGCAGGACGTTGTTGACGTTGACGTAACCTCTGTCCAAGCATGTCCCAGACATGCTCGATGGGGGAGAGGTCGGGACTCAGTGCTGGCCAAGGTAATGTGGTGATGTTCTGTTGTTGGAGGTAACCTGTAACGATCCTGGCCCTGTGACATCTTGCGTTGTCATCCTGGAAGATGAAACGGTGGCCATGACGTCGTGCGGACGTCGTGCGAACGGCACAACATGGACTGCCAAGATGTTGTCCCGGTAGTACTGGCCTGTAACACGCCCTGCAACAACATGTAAAGCCGTTCTTCCAGCAACAGTGATGCCTCCCCACACCATAACAGAACCACCCCCAAATCGATCATGTCTGATGACGTTAACGTCTTGGAAGCGCTCGTTTCGACGACGCCACACCCTCCTACGTCTGTCCAAAAAATCAACAGTGAACCTTGACTCATCTGAAAACATCACATTGCTCCAGCGTCGATTATCCCAGTGTTGACGATCCCTACACCAACGACGTCTTGCCTGAATGTGATGATCTCTCAAACAAGGGATCACGCGAGGACGTCGGGCGCGAAGGTGACCCCTATGCAGTCGATTCCGAATCGTCTGGCCACTCACTCTCACACCAGTGTCTGTTTGAAGACGAGCGCTGATCTGATTTGCTGTGATGACACGATTTCTCAAGGCCAAGGTACGGATAAATCGATCCTGGGCTTGAGTTGACGCCCTTGGTCGACCTGAGCGTGGTCTGTCCTGTACAGATTGTGTATCACGGTATCTGGACCATAGCCTGCTTATGACAGACTGAGAAACATTCATCGTCCGCGCCACAACCGCCTGTGTTGTGCCGATCTGTAGCATGCCAAGGGCACGTAACCTTTCATTTTGGGTATGCCGACGCATATCAAAATTTGTTTTCTGGTCACTAAAACAATTAAACTGATGTTTCCACCCTGGAATTCAATGCCACAATGACTGTAACATTCAAAGTCAGAGTCGAGCAAATCTTGGGTTGGACCCCCATGATGATCCCAAGCATCACCTGCATTCCATGCGGTAGCTATTGGTGCGTTTGGGCGTCACATGTAACTGGAAATGTTTCTTCTGTTAGGTTCTATAGTGACTTTTTTCGTAGTCATTTGCATATTTCAGTATTATGCCCCCAAAATCAAATATCCCCTACTTTTTTTGAATAGTATATATAAAATTCATTAACCTGTTAACTGCATAGGGCGTTATATAATGTCCTGGACAACTGCCACTCACCCTGTGTAGGACGTAATATAACGTCCTGGAGGTATTTTCCCTAACCTATTCTTCGAACACGATCGCAGCATGTGTAAGACGTTATATTACACCTGGTCGAGGAAAACTAATTGAAGGGAGACAACCCTATTTACCGTTAGTTTTAAATTGGTTTCAGACTACCAAATTTTGCATTCAGGAATGAAAAGGTCCAAAATGACGTTTTTCGTCAAATTAATTACGCAATAGGGGGTAGTTAACGTTTTAAAAACTACGCAGTTAAGGGGTGAACATCATTAGTTTCCTGTAATATATAAAAGTTATAACATTTTTATAATCATTGAGTGGCATTTAGCGATTGAGCATATTACAAAACACAAGACAATTTCTATTGAAACAATGAGTGGATTATACACATATAGCACAACGTTTCAACAAGTATTCTCTTATGAAAACAATCACAGGGTTTTACACACATAGCACGTTTGAACAAGTATTCTCTTATCGTTTCAGAGAAGAGTAACATTTGTACTTTTTAATCATTTGACGCCTTTTTGTGTACTATTGTATGTATCAATTTACAGTAAATAGGAAATCTTTTTTGTCCAGGAGGGATCTTAATGCGTGCCACCATAAAAAGTCAAGGGGATTCAGGGGCGGATCGAGGAATTTTTGCAGGAGGGGGTTTGCCAGGTTCCTGTTAAGAAAATCGTCTCTAAATTACATAGGCATAGGCATACATACAAACTGAGCTTTTTAAAGAGAGAAATCATTTTTGTAATGATATAGAATATAGGATCACATTGTGATTTAATTTCATTGATGCAAGGCATTCATTTTATTTTATGTAGTTGAGCAGGGTGGGGTTTGGACCCCCCACCCCCCTGGATGGTGCTAAACTATATTACCATCATTACGGAGAGGGGGAGGGTATGCGATGTCAAATTACGGGTCATAATGCAATATTCACGATATCAGTGAAAAGCATGTTCATGTATACTCTTGACAATAGCGAAACAACTCGCACCAAGTGACTCACGGACCCATCATTCTTTGCAACAGCATTAGCGAACAAAAGCGCCAGATCAATCAACAGATTTCTATTGTGTTTATTTCATAAATTAATTGTGATTGAGTAATAAAAAGAAAGCACCCAATGGCAAGGAATGTTATATTCGCCAATTATCGAATAAAAAACATATGTTTCAACAAAGGATCTTCCAGTATTTACGTAATAGGTCAGAGGTGAACATTCACACCGAGTCAATGACTTTAGCAATATTTTCACGTTGTCACTTGCGGCTAATAATTTTATGATATGAAGAGTAAAATAGAATCAGATTTTTTTATGATTTACTGCCAGGCATATCGTAGAATATGATAATGTCGAAGAAATCAACTATTTGTTATTTTTTTGACATTATGATGCGAAGAATACGGATACTCAAGCTGAGATCAAGCGTGTCGCCGCCATCTTGGATATGGTACGCTTTCAAGCAGACGATAACACAAAACTTACGGCTAATAATTCTAGACTTCGGAAACTAAATTGAATCAAAACTTTTGGGATTTAATAATACAAGCTACATAGAGAAATATTACATTGTCGAAGATTTCAACTATATATTTTTATTTTCGACGCAATAAAGCAAAGAAGACGACCATATATCCAAAGAAAGGCAGAAATGATAAAATGCCGATAGCGATGAAGTGACCGTCACTTGGGGTGATATTTCTTTTTAAAAGTTATATTTACATTTACTTTGAACACTGCTGCCAACGTGAGGGACTATATTTGTGTTCTATTTTTAAAAAAAAATTATTAGGGGATACTTGTTCACGTTATTTTACCATTATGACAGAGAAAAGTAATATAATTTCTACTTTGTAAAATTGAATTTCATATCATTGGAAAGAACACGACAATCTGCTGTACATTTTTGTAACAGAGTATTTCTATGTATAGAAAATATTTTTTTAGTTATTTGCAATTTTGTAGGGGGTATTAGGATTAACAATAATCCACTAATTGATTTGGGAGATGGGCCCTGCTGATTTAATTAGCTTAGGGGTAGGGTAGCTAATCTTTTAATTGGCTCAGGTTTAAATGGGTTAAGTAGTCTACAGGTATATTTATTATTTATTGGGCACAATAATTATACTTTTTTTTAAAAATGGATTAAAGTTAATTAGCCTGTACTAAAATTTAGTGAGAGGGTATGGGGGGGCGGTGGCTAGGGTTTAAAATGTCAAAATACAGGTCTTAATACGAAATTCCAGTAATCGTGTTATACATCACAGGAATTTAAGTTTCTATGGCTCTATAATAATAACTTTATTCTCAAATAACCGTTACAATAAACAGCGTAGAGAAGAAATAGTGTAATCTAATTAATATAACATAATAATAATAACATAAAAAAAAAAAAAAAATATAAAAGTATATATATACAATGCATTGAGTTGATGGGGGAGCAACATAATAATAACATGAATATAATATACAATGTGTTAAGTTGAAAGGGAGTTTAATGTCTGTTGAATAATAAAGATAAATTTACATAAACTATTTAAAGTACTATATTTATAATTATAATTATAACTATGAATCTATCAGTTATGTCCTGGCACATTCATAATTACGTACTTTAGAGAAAGAAAAATCCTCCTTGTTGCTAAATATAGACTATACTTTCAATTTATGTATTTGTCAAAGGCTCGGATTAGCCATACCAATCACATGATTTTATCGGTCGTCCAGCGAATTTCTTATGGTTTCTCATATTGATTGCCTCAATATTGTGTGGTAAATATCTTGTGTATCGCAGACAATGTAAATATCTGATAGTGTGCCGGCTTATAGCGTGCCAGGTTGATCTCGGGCTTGTTTCGGTATATGTTAAGTCATGTGATATCCTACATTTGCATATCAAACTTGGTGCTCTGCGTAAGATGCTATGTAGAAAGCGTGAAGGACAAATGAGATGCGTCGGAACGCAAATGTTAAATGTGATGAGGGGAATGTCAAATGTAGATGCATCAAAAACAGCATTTTCCAATAAAAATTTTGACATTTGACATATTGCATTTGACGTTTTACATTTAACTTTGGCCTTAGAGGTATTTTGACTTTATCATTATCGGTATTAAGACTTTGTACATTGTACTTTTTACACGTAATCAATAGAAAACACATTTTAGCAGAGCATTTAATATTGGCAGCGATACCCTTCCATAATACCGGCCATTTTTGACAACGCACGAAAACTTTGCAAAGTATATTCATATTTCATGTTTTTTATTCATGGTAGGGTATTATGAATTGGTATCACGTCATTTGGGACTCAACATAAACGACATTTGGGACTCAGGTGACGACGTTTGGGACTTGATTGGCATCAATTGGGACTCAACACAAACGACATTTGGGACTATTTATTTATAATATATATATAGTAACAGCTGTCTTAGTTGTCTTTCGTTTTATTTAGTTGATCGGCGATTGTTGAGACCACGATTAACACTGCTAGTTCTCCTTTGCTTTGTTTTATCTGCGAGTATAAAACTTCTCCTTTGTTTTGTTTTATCTGCGAGTATAAAACTTGACAATAATATATTGTTGAAAATTTGTGTATATTTAGTAATACTTCGTTGTTTTTCTTTTATCAAATAGTAAACGAGCTTGATTGACCGACCACTGCTAATGTTTTCTCGTGAAACGGTATAACTGCAATCAACACACGGCCGCCATACTCGATGATTGACAACTCACGTTTTTCCTCATCCACCAAAGAACCGTTAGGTTTCTTTGAACATACTGCAATAACATCGGGATTATCAGTTAATCAGCTTTAATTATCCGGCTTTGATTGTTGCCAATCCTTATATTTTCCACAAAAAAACTTTGGCTTGTACGCACTAATTTATCGATTGGTATTGCCATCTACGACAAGCATATGTCAACGTGCAGCTCACGTACATGTATTATCGTTAACAATTTCTAGGGGCTTGTAAAAAAGATTGCATGTCGTGTAAATATTTATTTTGTTTTTTGTGTAGGTCATTTTCAAATAAATTCATCAGCATATTATTCGTTTTAAATAAATATATAACTTTTATGAGAAACGATGATTATCAAAGAACCGTAAGTGCAACTAATGTTTTATCGTTTGGATGAGCCTTTTACTAACCACATGTTTCATGTTATTAAATATTTTCTTTCGTGTTTTGAATTGGTCTATTTCTAATAAATTATCCGGAGTCCCAAACATCGTATACCCGAGTCCCAAACGATGTATACCAAAGTCCCAAACGTCGCATACCGAGTCCCAAATGTTGTGGTCATATTTTTTTGAGTCCCAAATGACGTGAGTCCCAAATGACGCGAGTCCCAAATGACATGTAATCTTATGAATTCACGTGTCTATACCACTTTGTCAGCATGGGGTACACAAAAAATTATATATTGGACTTAAAAAATGAAATATTAGTAAGGCTTATGATAATTATTTATTAATTAAATATTACCTTTTGGCTACTTAAATAATCGAAATAGCTGAATTGGCCGTAGAAAAACCATTCCAATGGCTGACACATTATTACTATGTGCTCTATAGAAAACACACTGACCTGGATAATTATGAGTTGTAATACAATAATCTCGATATGAAGATAAATATATAATTATCGACGGCATATATCGTCGTGTATAAGAGTAACCATATATACACAACATTTTTGTAACACATGGAATTATCAATATTGCTACACAATAGTGAGAGAGAGAGAGAAATGGGGTTTAGAGAGAGAGAGAAATGGGGTTTAACGTCCACTCGACACAAACTAGGTCATTTCGGGACTAACATATGGTTTAATTTTATTTCATTAATTTGCTTACGCATAGGGGTCTTTAGCAGTGGGAGGAAACCGGAGGACCCGGAGAAAACCCACGAGGTTGGACAGGCGACCCTACTCCTTGTCACGTACAACCGGGGATTCGAAACCACGCCAGTTGACTCAATGACAGGCCGTGGCGTATGATACAGCACGCACGTGCTAACCATTCGGCCACCAAACACCCCGAAATGGGGTTTAACGTCCACTCGACACAAACTAGGTCATTTCAGGACTAACATATGGTTTAATTTTATTTCAATAATTCGCTTACGCGTAGGGGTCTTTAGCAGTGGGAGGAAACCAGAGTATCCGGAGAAAACCCACGAGGTTCGACAGGTGACCCTACTCCTTGTCACGTACAACCGGGGATTCGAAACCACACCAGTTGGCGCAATGACAGCCCGTATGATACAGCATGCACGTGCTAACCATACGGCCATCCAACCCCCCCCCCCCCTACACAATAGCACTGGAATACGTAATGTTCTTAATTTTTTCGGTAAGCACGTTAACTAATCACTAGATTTTATTTCTACAATTCAGACATATGGCCGTAATACCGCTATAAAAAAATTATAATGCATTTTTCTCCCAACACGTACGTTGTTGAGGATTTACGTAATTTCTATGCTGTTTTTATTTAATATGACACATGTAAGTTTTGGGTCCAAAAGATCAACTCACCATCATTAATTGTTGATGTTTACAGCTGAGTTTTATAGATCATACAATGTTATAGAACGTAAAAAAAAACAAACTACTCGTGACGTCGTGTTGTAAACAGATGGCGGAAACTGTCTTGAGTCACTATCCCAAGTTCATTTCCGGAACAACTTTGGGATAGTTGTATAATGAAGTAAGATGTGGATCTATCCAACACGAATAACTCATAATGTTAGACACTTCCGCTTGTTCACGAATTGTTAAGCATTTATCATCAATGTTTAAACATACATTATGCAAGAGCTAAATATGCCCGAGTCTAGCATTGATATTGACTGAGAATTTACCTTTTGAATCGAGATACCCTTTCGCATGTTTTGAAACTACCATTATGATTCGATTTTGGTATTCTGATTTTATTTCTTCTGGTCAGTCTATATTTGTGAAATTTTGGGGTTCGTAGGTGAATGTTATCAGTGTAGGATAAAGCACGAGACTTTTGGGCAAAGAAAGACTGAAGAAAATAACCCGAGGGGATATTATTTGTACTAAACCAAAAGATGCCGCTCTTAAAGGTACAGTTAATGATAAAGCGATTTAAAAAATGAAACGAAGGTAATTTCTAAATCTGCTGTAATAACCAAGAAGCTTAATTTCACTGCAATTCAAAATCGTCAACAATAAATTTTTTACGGCTGTAATAGTTGATAGATTTGTAGAGAATGGCTTTGTTCGTTTCTGGAGTTTTACGTCCACTTCCACTTAAGGTGATATCGTAGACAAGAGAATTGCACGTGCCATGGCTATTTATAGTATCATACTTTTAGAAAGTTGGTCTCGGCACGGCGAATGTGCACGCTTCAGTGGTAGTCTCGAACTATCAGCGGAGGACTTTATTTCTGTAAAGTACATGGGTCACCCTAGTAAAGGCCTTTATATTGACCCGGTGTTTCCATCAAGGTCAACTAAATAAAAAAAATTTATTTTAATAAAAAAAAGAAGTTACATTTAATAAAAAATGAACTCTTCTTTGAAAATACAAAAAAAGTAGTTCCTTTTTAACTGACCAATCAAATTCATGTAAAGCGATGAGATATCGCAGTAGATTATGAAATTTATCACACAAGCGATATTAACTGTAGAATGTATTATTGGGTCATGAATTTGATTAAAGGGACAACAACACTCTTGCAGACTTGACAGCTCCAGAAAATAAATAATAGCCTTATTCTAAGTATTAGATGTTTAAGTGTCCTACCTGTTGTGTAAATTATCCATTACATCCTATTTTACTTGTCCAGAGGGTTCGAAAATATTTTTAAATCCAAGTCACATTTGAAAAGGTTTACGTTAAGCTTTTCAAATCATTTATTTGAATTTTTCCAATTTTTTAAATTTGTATCATCAATTAATTGGAATATTGTAAAATAGTACACTTTGTTGATCAGAATAAAGATTGGGGCATATTATTCAGTTACAACAAGAGTGGTATTGAGCCTTTTAAAACAAATATAACTAGGACATGTATTTGTTGGGATGAGTTGTCTCTACGAATATTTAAAGTTGGGATGAGTGGATTTTTATCTTGGGATGAGTTGTCTTCTAACTTGGGATGAGCTGTCTTCTATCTTGGGATGAGTTGTCTTCTATCTCGGGATGAGCTGTCTTCTATCTTGAAATGAGTTGCCAGAACTAGTAACATCTTATGTAAACAATGCACGCGCCATTAAGTCAATGATTGATGCCGCATGATGTGACGTCACGTGTTGAAGCCAGTCATCTTTTACAGAGATATTAGAAGACTTTCGTAATCCTCTGTGAAACAGGTAGGTATCCTGGTTTTAGACGAGGATTAGTCAACTCTAATAATTCATAAACGGAATACACCAAATAATATAGTCCGCTTTAGTTTCTTTTTAAAATTCTACTGCATTGTTAGATAACAAACCTCATCTCTCAACCCTCCGTGTTTCGAGATAAGAGATGGTCCTATATAGTTCCACGTAGCAAATCCCAACGCGAATTGCATCAGGGATCAGTAAGTAAAATTGACAATATTTTTCATCAAAACAACGCTTTATTATTGTTATTTATAATATTTCTGCCACATCCAACTACGGTTAAGCATATAATTTTACCTAATATAGGTATAAATCATCGTATTTAAAAAAAGAGGCGTTAAGCCGTTTCTAAGAACAATATTTTTAAACGGGAGATGTATGTCGGATAAAAACAACGCTTCATTAATTTAAACGCGAATATTTGGAATTGCGCCACTACTTTGGCCTCTGTAAGTTTAATTGGTCATAATAGTATAAAAAAAGAAACTGAGTTTGCCACTTTGAACTAAAGGCACCCAATCGTAGCTAAAAACAAAAACATCAGTATATCTCAACGTGTTTAGCTGCGTTCTCGTAGCTAAGGCATTGTATCCCCTTTCCCTCCAAATCTACTTCTATTCATGGTAACGTTCTTTGTTAGTTACTCGGGTTGGGTGGATCTACGTCTATAATAAATCTTTATGTCGTAAAACGGAAACCGTGCCAGTTTTTGATAAAACGAAGGGGAATTTATATCTCGAAGAAAAGAAGTTAAAATAATAGAGACTGGACTGGGTCTAAGTTTTTTAACCAGCACAAAGTGACAGGAGAACCGAAAAATGGTAGGATGTTAAATATAGTCAGTTACTTTATAGGTATCAGCTTTATTGTTGTAAAACGGAAACCGTACTATTTTTGATAAAATAGGTATGTGACTAAAAAAAATGAAATTTATGGAAATTTAATAATAATTGGAAAGGGCCTGGAATATGCATTACTATGGTCTTTAAATTTTGACCCTTTGTTTTAATTAGAAAACAAAGACATGAGTGTGATCACTTTTGGAGGAAAACAACAAAGTACGCACTTTAAAACATCACAGTTCCCTCAAAAGTAAACAGATATCAATGACATTGACATCGTCAGAGAGCTATTTTAATTCACAATAAAATTACATTAATTAATTGATTAATTAATTTGATCAATTATTAATTAATTATCAATTAATGAACCAATTAGCGGCGATTAATTGACGACTGACCAAATCACAAAAAATGCTCAAACTTCCTTAATACTTGGACTTTTTTATTGAAATTTTCACTTAAAGATAGCTCTTCAAAGGCACTAATACATGCACAATTAATCTCTTAATTAACAGATAAATATCACCAGTCATGACAAATAATAAGATGAATTCCAGCACACAGATGAGTCCGTTTCGAAGTCTTTAACACAAAATCAAGTCAATTAGGATGAGATCAGAAGCAAGGGAATATTTCGAAATGTCGTACGACTCTCCATCATCAAAAGTCTCCCTCTCAGTCCAGTAACGCACATGATAAATAATGCCATTCTTCCTGAGCTTCTCTATTCTGCCATAATACATTTCTTTAACACCCTTGTCTGTGTCAAACCAGTAGTGGCAAAGGTCTCTGCCAACGACTTTGCCCTCCAATATATCCCCCAAATCATCCAGAATCTTTTTATCGGTGCCCGGAAAAGCTTCGGCCAGAGAAATTGGATCTGTGTCAGTGGTTTTTAATTTCTTTTCCATTTTTCTTAGTTCAGTCATGTTTTTCTTCTCTTGTTGTAAGACACTTCTTCTTTTTATTTCCACCATTACATCCTTCTGCTTAGTTTTCTTTCTTTCTCTCGGTTTTCTCGAATAGGTCACTGCAAACTGAACTACCTTCTCTCTTTATCATCACCCATGTTGTCTAGAAAATCCATTACTAGGGTGACCCATGTACTCACAGAAAAACAGTCCACCGCTGATAGTTCGAGACTACCACTGAAGCTTGCACATTCGCCGTGCCGAGACCAACTTTCTGACAGTATGATACTATAAATAGCCCTTGCACGTGCAATTCTCTACAAATCTATCAACTATTACAGCCGTAAAAAATTTATTGTTGACGATTTTGAATAGCAATAAAATTAAGCTTCTTGGTTATTACAGCAGATTTAGAAATTACGTTCGTTTCATTTTTTAAATCGCTTTATATTAACTGTACCGTTAAGAGCGGCATGTTTTGGTTTAGTACAAATAATATCTCTGAATCACTCGGGTTAGACAGGAACATGATACTAGCAGTAGTTTCATTTTACTTTTACAAGCTTCTTAAAACGATTGTTGAGCTACCTAATGTGCTTATTTCTAAATTCAATTTCTTGTTCTAGCTTTCTGTTATGTTTCGTAAAAAAGTAGTCTTGATTATCCCGACCTGTCAATCAGACGTAGAATGGTCGATAGACTGGTTAAGCGAGACTAATTTAAAAACAAGGGAACGGAACCTATCTTTTACTCAAAAGTGTCTGGATGTTATGGACGACACTTGGAACCAGTTTTCAGTCTATTATTTATACATGATTAATGGTCATAGCTTATTAAGTACAACATGATCGTTTATTTAGTGACTATAATTGTGTGAAACTGATTTGGGGCTTGGCATATATATAAATATTGTGGCGTAATTGTCGAGATATATGGAGATATTTATTTATGATGGGTCACCTACCATTACACAGTTTTTCTGCACCCTAATTTTGGATGAGAGGAAACACAGAGTCACATTCTGAGCTTTCTGTTTTGCTGCCGAAAACATACCCATTACCTCCTCTGCATCTATATTGTGTGATCTGGCGGACTCTGTTTGCTTCTCTAATACGTCGGTGATGTCGAGGTTAAAATACTTCTCATATTGTCTCTCTAGCACTACATGTACCACGATTGCACCCAAACAAACTTTCACCATTTCAGCAAACAAGGTTTTGTCCGATGGTACCTCTTGTTGCAAAGCACACAGAATCGGGTATTTTTTCTAGAATGTTGTCAAAGAAATCTCTGTCAAGAGAAAGAATAGCGGCAGGGTTCTTCTCCTGGAGCTTAACACGCTTTAACACTTTTTTTACAACCTGAATCCCTCTGATGTGATGTATTTCTGTGTCCGCCGAAGTATAAAACATCTTCATCCATGGACCAGAAAACAACTTTCCAATTAACCCTAGAACCTGAAGCTCCAACTTCGTAACAGAATTTTCTAAATCTAACAACAAACTGGATCGCAACCCACCAAGAGAAGTACGAGAATTCAAAAACTTAAGGAAGTCAGCATGATAAACGAAGTACTTCCCTGCAATATGGAAAAGTACATGAAGGCGATTTCCCCTGTAACGGGGGATAAATCCCTTCCCTAGTCTCATTTCCTCAAGAAAAATTAAAAAACCCATGGGGTAGCCTTTCCCGTCCTGGAAACGAACTTTGTTCATTTGCAAAATGACATTTGCAGCCAGACAATCTTGACCGAACAGCTTTCCCTTCTCGTGACCCTTTTCCTGTTGAAGTGATTTCAATGCAGATCTAACTTTTGTAGCGACAGTGTCCAGCGAATGAAGATGGCAGTTGAGTTCATTAAGTGATGTAATGAAATGAAATGAAATGGGGTTTAACGTCCTACTGTTCTGCTCCTAACCTGGGCTAATGAAGACGAGCATACGCCATACAGTGTGCTATGAGGGAAATTTTGCCTGGGCAGCGGCACTACGGCCTACTCTTATATCGAATTCCAACTGCCAAGGGATCTTTTACGTGCACGCCAATGTGTACACGGGACCTCGGTTTTTCGTCCCATCCGAACGACTAGACAGCTTTCCTTGTCATCCCCTCCGTCCTGCATCACTGACAAGGGAGAACCACGCCGGAAAATCTGGATGAACTTTCTCGGCCAATGCAGGGATCGAACACCCGACCTCCAGGCTAGCGAGCTAGCGTCTTACCCACTTAGCCACGTGATCCCCATTAAGTGATGTATTCCATGCAGCATTGACGAGACGAATACCAGCATGATTAGATGCACATCTGTCAGTCATACTATTGGCAATATTTGATGTCAAAGATTTACAAACTGTCTGATAGCCTTTGTGGTAAAAGTCGGCGTAGACCACTGCCAGTTCATTAATAGGAGAAATAATATGCTGGGAATAATCCTCAGCAGTCCCACCTGCTAGGTGGTCGACAGCAATGACAAGGCAACTTTCCATTTTATCTTTAAATGTAATATGGATGCTGTTAATGTGAATGCCTTGCTGGGTAGTTGCATCAAATCCCAAGGTTGAGTCTGGATTGGCCAAGATAGTTTCGGCTGCCTGAAGCTGAGATATTAACCCCATTTCTCGTACCATCATTTCTACCGTATTGCGGTGGGGAACTTTGTCGACTTGGGCACCAGTTCTTTGTACAAACTTATCTAAAAGTTTATGCACATTAGCGGTTGGTACTTGATTTGTTACAGCGTCATAAACAAAGAGACATGTTTGTAGAGAGTACATTTTTCCTTGCTTCTTAAAAATGTCTGAAGTGGAGGAATCTTCGCTGTCTTCAATCTGCTCTTCAAGCACAGCTACATCATTTTGAAGAAAACTAATCTCTTCATCTTGGGCTTTCAACTTATTCCTAAGTCCAAAGATTTCTTCGGCAGATTCATCAGCTATCAATCTATTTTTTTCATTGAGCTCATTCTGTAATCTTTTACATTGTTTTTTTCTTCTGTTTGACTACATCTCTCAATCTTTGCAGTTTTGCTCCCAAACGAGCAGTATCTGATGCATCGAGTTCTTTAACACGGTTCAGTTTTCTTTTTAATTTTTGGTTGAGGACTCTGATAGCATTCTTTTTACTCAACTTTCTTCTGAACTCTTCAATTTGAGCAGAGTGTGCTTCTTTCATTTCTTTTCGTAGTTTAATAGCCTTGTACAGGCGTCCGCGAAGTTTCACACAGTTTGAACAGTTCTTGTGAGACGGGGAACTGGAACTTGGAATTGTAGGTACCGGTATACTTTGTGGTTGAGAACACTCTCTACATACTACTCCTGTTGAAAATTCTTCCCAACAACAATCTTTGAATTTCTGAAACTCATTCTCATTTGTTAGCGTCTTATATTTTTTTATTGTCCGCTGAACCAAAGAAGTGATTTTTCCCTTTAAAATTGGAATGGCAGAACGCTCCTCTTCATTAAATGTCTCCTTCAGTGCGCGTTCAGTGTTTGACACACTCGAGTCATGCAGCAAACAAATATACAGGACATGTCCATTTTGAAGTTCATTCCCAGCAGGGACGACACAAAATGTCTCATTCAGGTTTCAGTGTCTGGGTTCAGCTTTCTTTTCTTCTTTGATGGTGGTATCCTGATATTCTACTTCTTGGGTTTATTTATTACTAAAAATAAAAAAAAAATAAAATATATTTCTAGATAAAAAAAGTATTTTTTTTTTTGCAAGGTTGATTGTCTACACAAGTTATTGCTGACCCAAAATGCATATAAACTAAGAAATAAACACCACAATATAAGAGCATGTGCGTTTGTTTTGTAAACAAAGTCACGGGAGAGGCGGATCTTGACCTGCATTTCATAATTATGAGGCATTTAATCCTCGATAACTATTCATTTTACTTTTACAAGTTTCTTAAAACAATTGTTGAGTAGGCTAAAGTGCTTATTTCTAAATTCAATTTCTTGTTCTAGCTTTCTGTTATGTTTCGTGAAAAGTAGTCTTGATTATCCCGACTTGTCAATCAGACGTAGAATGGTCGCTAGACTGGTTAAGCGAGACTAATTTCAAAACAAGGGCACGTAACCTATCTTTTACTCAAAAGTGTCTGGATGTTATGGACGACTCTTGGAACCAGTTTTCAGTCTATTTTTATACGTGATTAATGGTCATAGCTTATTAAGTACAACATGATCGTTTATTTAGTGACTATAATTGTGTGGAACTGATTTGAGGCTTGGCATATATATAAATATTGTGGCGTAATTGTCGAGATATATGGAGATATTTATTTATGGTGGGTCACCCTATCTAAGATCCCTGTCTTGCCAGTCTGACGATCTGTATCATTTTGGTCCTCTATCTGTGGCTCAGAGAATCATTCAGGCTTAAATTTATTTCTTAATACAGTTGATTGCTCTGGTAGAGTTTTATTTATATAGAAGTTAGTGTCAGTCTTTACGTTTAAATCTACCGTCCCGCCTTGTGGTGGGATTCGGCAATGTTATACATTCTGGTAAGGTTGACCGAACAAATTAAAAAATTTTAGGGTTAATTTAATTTTTATTATACTTACCTGAATGAATAACTTAATTTCCCACGTCCCCTCCCCCCTCCCCCACGATTTCCCATTCCCCCCCCCCCCCCCGCTAAATTTTATTAATATTTGAGAAAAGAATGATGATTTAGTATGGTGATATAGTTACTACCGGTAGCAGCAAGCTCCACCTCTCCCGTCAAAAGGCAAAACCTAGTAACTCGCTTTTTTATCAAAATTGAGTTAGGACCAAATTTGTAGTTTCTAGGGTATGTGCTTCCTGTTGTTGTACTAGATATTCCAATCTTGTGATTTTGTAAGCAGTTACACCCATGACACAACCTAGCAACTTCCTTCATTTGCCTAGTATACCACAGCAAAACCTAGTAACTCAATAGTCAAATCAATGGATGAGCTGGGGTTTAACATTCATTCATTTGTTTTCTCAAAATAAGAAAAAAGTGAGTTACTAGGTTTTGCCTTTTGACGGGAGACCTATGGTAAGGGAGACTAGCCATGGTCTAGTATTTTTATTTTTAAAGGGACAGTCTTACAGGTAATTAAGAATGTAAATCAATGTTATTCATTCAGGTAAGTATCAGAAAACTTTACTCTTAAAATTTTTAATTTTGTTATATTTCAGGAAATTGATGATGTAAAAACTTTTCATCAATGTGTTGTATGTGATGAGATTTTTCACGAATCTGATGATTTGGAAAACCACATCCAGATGCATGTTAAAGAAGAGAAAACTGATGATGTAGATCAATATTGTCATGTTAAAGATGAGAAAACTGATGATATAGATGAATATTGTCATGTTAAAGATGAGAAAACAGATGATGTAGATCAATATTGTCATGTTAAAGAAGACAAAAATGAAGATACTGAAACCTTGCATCAGTGTAATTTGTGTGATGAAGAATTTAGGTCCGAAAAAGAATTAGGAAACCACTGTGAAATACATATTAAAGAAGAAGAGTCTATTGTACAACATAGTAAAAATTGGCAGAAAAGTTTTAGTCGGTATAATAAAAACGGTATACACAAACAACAAGGTTCTAGAAAAACTCATTCTGGTAAAAAACCTTATAAACCATTCAGATGTAATGTTTGTAGTAAATCCTTTAGTCAGAATAGCAATCTGCAGGAACATGTGAGGGTTCATACAGGGATCAAACCATTTAAATGTGATGTTTGTAGTAAATCATTTACTCAGTATGGTAACCTACGGCAACACATAAAAACTCATAGTGGAAATAAACCTTATCAATGTGATGTTTGTAGTAAATCATTTACCACCAATAGAAATCTACAAAGACACATAAATTCTCATAAAATGATTAAAAGAATTGATACAGGGGAGAAGCTTTATAAATGTGAATTTTGTTGTAAATTATTCACGACTAGTAGTTATCTAATAGCCCACACTAGAATTCATACCGGTGAAAGGCCTTATAAATGTGATGTTTGTAGTAAATCATTTACTCACAGTGGTAGTTTAAAGTCACATATGCGAATTCATACTGGCGAGAAGCCCCATAAATGCGATGTTTGTGGTAAATCATTTACTCAAAGTAGTACTCTTCAAACACACATAAATACCCACACTAAACAAAAACCATATAAATGTTATGTTTGTAGTAAATCATTCACCCTGAGTGATGCTCTACAGAAACACATGATAATTCATATGGGGGTTAAACCATATAAATGTGATGTTTGTGGTAAATCTTTTAGTCAGAATGGTGGTCTACAGATACACATGATAACTCACACTACAGAAAAGCCATATAAATGTGATGTTTGTGGTAAATCATTTAACAGGAAATCAAGTCTTCAGAGGCATATGAGAATTCATACAGGCCAAAAACCGTATACATGTGATGTTTGTGGTAAATCATTTTGCGATTTGAGTAATTTAAATGATCACATGAAAATTCACTCCGGAATTTATAAATGTGATGTGTGTTGTAAATCATTTCACCGAAGTAATTTTTTACAGAAACATATGAAAATTCATACAGGAGAACACGTCTTGAAATGTGATGTTTGTAGTAAACAATTCAGCAAGAAAAGTCATCTTAATGCACACATAAAAATACATACTGGGAAAAAACCTTATAAATGTGATGTTTGTAGTAAATCATTCACTGTAAGAGGTACTCTACAGAAGCACATGAAAATACATAGTGGCGAAAAAAACATATACATGTGATGTTTGTAGTAAATCATTCACTGTAAGACATACTCTACAGAAACACATGAAAATACATGCTGGAATAAAACCTTATACATGTGATGTTTGTAGTAAATCATTTACTGTAAGCGGTACTCTACAGAAACACATGAAAATACATGCTGGAATAAAACCTTATAAATGTGATGTTTGTGGTAAATCATTTTCTCAGACTAGTTACCTTCAGAAACATATCAGAATTCATACTGGTGAAAATCCTTATATATGTGATGTTTGCGATAAATTATTTAAGCGGATTAATGGTCTAAAGAATCACATGAAACTTCATACACGAGGCAAAACCTTTCAAATGTAATGTTTGTGGTAAATCGTTCACCTGGAATATTCTCTAAAATCACCCTTGAGAATTCCAATCTGATTAAAACACAGATCCTATTTCGTTTCGTTTTTATAGTTCAAAATTTCGTTTTACTTGTCTTTACTACACTTGGATCTGGAAGAGTTGTTATTTAACTCGTGTTCTGAATGGTGTCAGGGATAAGCCAATGTAACGGACTGTCACGGCGAGCTTTAGGCTTGTTTTGCACGGAACTGTGGGTAATCCATTAGTAACGTCAATGCTGATTGGTTAATCAAATGTCTGACATCATAGGGTCATAAGTCGGCCTTTTGACCGCTGACGTGACCTATCGCTATAACTTGTCAGATCTTCATGTAGTGTAGGCCATCGAAAGTATAAAAAAACGAAACGAAATATAGATCTGCATTTTAATCAGATTGTGAGAATTCATGCTGGAGGAAAAAAAACCCTTATAAATGTGATGTTTGTAGTAAATCATTTGTCCAGAGAATGAGAGACTTGTAAACTATGTCTAGCTGTGTATATTGTATTGTGTCTAGCTGTGTACATGTATATACACTGTAATCTACTGTGAGAGACTGGTTGATATTGTATTGTGTCTAGCTGTTTATATGTATATACACTGTAATCTGAGTTGGTCGTCTTCCTGTATCTCTTGTTCTTTTGGTTTCGGAAGCCACAGTGGGTAGGAAGTTGGCTCGCTAACCTTGAGATCCTGTTTTCGATCCCTGCAGTGTCTGAGAAAGCACATCAGGATCAGGATTTACCTGTGTGGTTTCACCTTGTCAGCGGTGCAGTACGGAGTTCGTGGCAAGGGGAGAGAGAGAGAAATAGGGTTTAACGTCCACTCGACACAAACTAGGTCATTTCGGGACTAACATATGGTTTAATTTTATTTCAATAATTCGCTTGCGCGTAGGGGTCTTTAGCAGTGGGAGGAAACTGGAGGACCCGGAGAAATGAATGAATGAATGAATCCTGGCAAGGGACAACATATAGTCATTCGGATGGGATGAAAAAATGAGGTCCCATGTACACATAAGAATGTACGTTAAAGATCTCTTGGCAGTTGGAATTTGATATAGATAAAATGAAATGGGGTTTAACATCCTACTGTTCTGCTCCTATGCTGGGCTAATGAAGACAGGCATACGCCATACAGTGTGCTATGAGGGGAAATTTTGCCCAGGCAGCGGCACTATCGCCTACTCTTATATCGAATTCCAACTGCCAATGGATCTTTTACGTGCATTCCAATGTATACATAGGACCTCGTTTTTTTGTCTCATCCGAAGGACTAGACAGCTGTCCTTGTCAGACCCTCCGTCCTGCATCACTGACAAGGGGGAACCACACCGGAAAATATAGATGAACTTTCTCGGCCAATGCAGGGATCGAACACCCGACCTCAAGGGTAGTGATGTGATCCCGGAATTTGATATAAGAGTAGGCGTAGCACCACTGTCCGGTCAAAATTTACCTCACAGCACACTGTATAGTTCATGCCTGTCTTCATTAGCCCAGTTGGAGCAGAACAGTAGGATGTTAAACCCCATTTCATTTCGTTTAGCTTTTCATTTTAATCAGTGTCAAAATCAAATGTGACTTTACATGTGGGTATATCAAGATAATAGTAATCAAATACAATGTAGTGATAAATTTTTGTAAATTTGAATATTAGCATTATATAGGTGACTAATGTAGTATGGCATTGAACTGTTTGTGTGACCCGAATGGTTAGCACACGCACGCTGTATTGTGCGGTCTGTCATTGAGTAAACTGGCGGGGTTTCGATTCCCCGGTTTTATGTGGCAAGGAGAAGGGTCGCCTGTCCAACCTCGTGGGTTTTCTCCGGGTCCTCCAGTTTACTCCCACTGGTAAAGACCCCTACGCGCTAGCGAATTATTGAAATAAAATTGAACCATGTGTTAAGTCCAGAAATGACCTAGTTTGTGTCGGGTGGATGTTAAATATTGTGTGTATGTAACTATATTGTTTATATTTACATGCCAGGTGTATAATGTTTATATATAACTATAATGTTTGTATTTATACATGCAGGTATATATTGTTTGTATGTAATGTTTGTGTATATATGTTATTTCATGATCATTAGATTTAAAGAAATAAAGAATTTAACAAAGTGTCAAGATGGTATGAATACCATTTCAATCGTGTGACAAGGTATTGAGTTCTGTCACAGTTCTGACATTCCCGACAATAGAGGTGGTGTGAGTAGGAAGATGGCGAACAATATATACAGGTTCGGAGACTGTTTCAAAGATTTTGTATATTTGTATTTATTTTATCTTGAGTATTTGTCGTTTAATATACTGAGCGCCATGAAAACGCATCACTTAGTTTTTCGTATAACAAAATGATCCTGTAAACATATCTTATTTATTTTGCTTCTTATTGTGAACAATATTCAAATGGGAACACATCAATAACAACACATTTGTACACTTATGGATGTTTAATCTGTAATCAACGGTACAAAGTCAGAGGGGTCAAAACCAAAAGTACGACATAGATGTCAGTAGCGCGTGTGTCCTCCACGGGCTCTTATGCACGCTGTGCAGCTACGTCGCATGGAATTAACCAATGTTTGAAAGAAGGCCTGGGGCAAATTGTTCCATTCTTGGACAAGAGCAGCTTCTAAAGCAGCAATGGTGTGCATCTGTGGTCTCCGATACAGACGGCGTCCAATCCCATCCCAGACATGTTCTATCTGTGCCATGCCCGGAGACATGGCTGGCCAGTCCAAGACATTGATGTTGTTAGCAGCCAGGTAGTCCATACTAAAACGGGCGGTATGCGGACGTGCATTATCCTGTTGGAAGTGCTGAAGTTGTGGGTGCGCTCGAAACATCGGAACAACAATTGGTTGCAAGACATCATCACGGTAGGCTACATCATTAACGCGACCCCTGCAAATGTGTAGGGCGGTCCGGTGATGAAATGTGAAGCCCCCCCCCAACATCATTACACTTCCCCCACCCCATCGATTCGTTTCGAAGACGCAGCAGTCTGCAAGACGTTCCCCAAGACGTCTCCACACACGTTGACGGCCATCAGCGTGTTAAAGATGAAAGCGACTCTCATCACTGAAGAGCACACTTTGCCAGTCTACTCTTCTCCATGTCTGGTGTCCTTGAGCCCATATCAAAAGCCGCTGACGGTGATGATCCCTGAGGATAGCTCCAACATAAGGTCGTTGTGCACCGAGTCCTACTTCTCTTAGACGACGTCTTACGGTGTTGGCACTTACTGGTCCCTGTCTTCCGACGACTGCTGCCCCTGTTCGAGTCGCTGGGCGGAATCTGTCACGCAGATGAGTGACCTGTATGTAGCGGTCTTGAGCTTGGGTTGTAATGCGTTGTGGACCAGGACGTTGACGGTCACGTGTTGATCCAGTAACTCGAACACTTTCGACCAACCTTACAATAGTGGACTGATGACAATTGAAGTGTCTGGCAATAGCACGTGTGGACATTCCCATGGCTTCATTCCGTTGATTTTCAGTAAGTCTCGGCATCTCTAGCTCGATTCCTTCACACGTCCTACAACAAATTACGACAGATTGACGTTGCACAGTTCATGTACTGCACATTAAGTTGAAAACATGCTTTTAAAGGGCTCACACACAATGCTGCACGTGAATATTGGGTTTTTCATGTGCATCTCGTGCAATTTTTTTTTTGTGCACACAGGCCGATATTTTTTGTGTTTGGGAGCATTGTGTGAAACAATAGTTCATAGTATTGCATAATATTATACATACCAAACCACCTAGTAATAAAATCTTTGGGAAAAAAAGTGATGCGTTTTCCATGGCGCTCAGTATATATTGGTTATTTATGGTATATTTGGTGTTTGTGGTATTGTCCCTTTAATAATACATCTCTAAGCTGGCCAACAATGTCTTTACAATAGCAAGTCTAAACTGAACTCACTAAAATAACCACATCTCAGCTTCTCTTTCAATTCTCACTTGCATCTAAACCTTGTTACAAGGAGGGCCACATTCTGTCACTTGTCCTGTAATTTATATGGTAAAACACTTGGAAATATTCAGTATTATTATAAACTCCTATTTTATAAGAGTTTTTGTTATTTGTATATTAAAAAAAATCCACAATAAAATCCGGCACCTACGACCTGGTGTTTTGTTCATTTTTGAATAGAATCTTGCTACACAAACATTTGGCTATTTACATTGCACACAGGCTGTATTTGACTTTGAATTTATTTCACTGTCGGTTTATGGACAGGTAATGTTGTGGTGGTCTGAGCCCTGATAGAGACGGCAACTATTGTTTGGGTGAGAAAAACCCACGAGGTTGGACAAGCGACCCTACTCCTTGTCGCGTCAACCGGGTAATCGAAACCACGCCAGTTTGCCAGTTGACTCAATGACAGACTTTACGATACAGCGCGCACACGCTAACCATTCGGCCATCCAACCCCCTTAGCTTCCAGAAGAGAGATCAAGGAGGAGTGTTGTGGTGGTCTGAGTCCCGATAAAGATGGGATCTATTTTGGGGGTATTCTACTACTAAGTCAGGGGTATATAAGTCGGCGACACACAGCCAGGACCTAGGGGGGTTGGGATGGCCTAGTGGTCTAGAGTGCCACGCTTTGACCTCCAGCTGGCCGGTCACC